GTCATAGCATATCTTTCCAGTAGGTTGAAGAGGCAACCAGAAATTACACACTCATATACTATAAATAGCAACTAATGGTAACTGAACACTTAGTATGTGTCAGGTCCTTCCTGAATTATGTAGATTATCTCATTTATTCCTCATAAAAGGTTTTCTTCTAGTAGCTAGAAGGGAGAGAAAACCAGTCATTATATGCTGAATGATAACATTAATAGTAAAAAGTTATAACATATGCCAGTTATATAATACATGCCAGGCCTTAAATTGGACACAACCTCTCATTTAATCTTTAAATGAAACATGTAAGTAGGTGGCATCATCATCATCATTATTATTATTATCCTAAGGTAGGCTGTTTCTAAAGTGGCTCCAGCGATCCCCTTCCCGTATCCTTGTGCAATCCCATATCCTTGAGTGTGGGCTGGATATAATGACTTGCTTCTAACTCATAGGCTATGGCAAAAGTCATGGGATATCACTTTTGTGATTTGATTACAAAATACTTTGACTTCTGTCTTGCTAGCAGTCTCTCTTACTGTCCCTTTCTCTTGCTTTCTTGCTTGCTTGCTCTGATGAAGCAAGCTGCCTTATTTTGAGAACTCTATGCCATGTTTTCAGATGCACAAGCCAGGCACTGAAGGAGGACTTGAGCCAAGAGCTCATGAGGCCCTAAAGCCTTAGCTTAAAGCTTGTGAGCTACTGGGTCCTGCCAAGAGCAATGTGGGTGAACTAGGAAGCAGTTCCATCCCAGCTGAGCCTGGGGATGACTGCAGCCTTGTGAGAGACCCAGAGCCAGAAGATCCAGTTAAGCTGCACCGGGACTTCTGACCTGGTCAGTATGATAAATGCTGTTGTGAGTTACTAAGTTTGAGGCTAATCTCTTATTCAGAAAAAGATAATTAATACATACCCTGTTTTGTAGATGAAGAAACTGAAGCTTAAGGAGATGAATCAACTTTTAAAGTCACACAGCAAGAGTCTGAGTTCAAGTCTACTTTCTTATGAGATTCTGAGTGACTGGGAAACTTGAGTTTCAGAAAGCATTCTACTCTCAGAAATCCTTGGAATGTAGCCATGTTTCCAGGAAACTCTCGGTGTGTGTGTAAAACGGGGATGGACAAAGTTTAAATGGGGCTAAGTGCTTTGGGCGGCCCACTCCCTGCTGCAGAAGAATGGCTGGCCCACCCATAGATCTGGTGATAGTATCCAGGGGCTCCATTCCATAGACAATGGCAGAGTTAGGAGCTGCAGCTCATCCATTTTATAAGCACTCAAGCCATCGTACCTATAATATACAAGGCTTATAGAGGGGTACACATACTTTTCTTGAGGATGAATATGCAGGCATTGGGTTATGAGAAGGTATAGCGTGCTCTTTAAAAATCACGTGAGCCCTAGAACTGGAAAGCAAATAGTTCTGCCTGAGAGAACACCTTTTCACTGATTTTTTTTTTGCTGCTTCCCATCATGGAACAGAGCCTTGAACTTTGAAACCACAGTGCTTTGTTCCAGCATGGAAAGCAGCTTGGCACTTCCCTGTGCTGGAATCTCTCCAAGTTGGGATGGTAAAAGCATCTTCTTCCAGATAGTTTCCCTTTGTTCATCCAGAGCTTCATGCCAGCGATCACCTTTATGAAATTAAATGAAGATAAACTTGTTGGCTGGCTGCATGAATCTTGTCAGCTTTTCCCTAGTGCCAGAGAAGCAGGTTTTGAGCTTAGGGAGGATTTCCAGGTGGCAGTAGAGCAACAGTCCAATAAGGTAGAGTTTTGGCAAGGTTCTCCTTTCAACCAGTGACAGAAGCTGTACTTTGTTGGTGTAATTGTGCAACTTGGTATAAAGTCCACAGACAGGGAGGTGGGGAGAGGACTTTAAGATGGCTCAGCACTCTGATTGTGGCCTCTTAATTATCTTTCTAGCTTTCCTTACCCTCTTCTCTGCTGGCTTCTCTCTTTTCCCCCTCCCTCCTCTCCAACCCTTTCATACCCCTCAGCCTCCACCTTCAGGTATCTCTAACTCAGGGGCCCACCTCTTATCAAATATCTTGGCTTGCCTCCAACTGCTAGCAGCAGGCACTCTGGCCCTTGTCTGCTGTCTGAGTGATTTTCTTTTCCCCCAGTTGTTTGTTTCTGTTACCCATTTAGAATTGTGTGTGTAGAACCCAGGGGTGGCAGTTGGGGGGAATCCCAAAGCCAACAAACAACTGCTACCCTGGACTAAAACAGAAATGAAAGGAGACTTGGATCCTGTTCTCTTGAAAAGTGATATGACAAAAAGAGGGCAGGAGTAAGAAAGAGCAAAAAGTAGCATCAGTGTACAGTAAAGCCCAAGGCAAACCATGCTGCTCCACAGATATTGGGATATCACTCTGAGTCCTTCATTTTCTACTTAATCAGGGTTTATAAGGCTACTTTTGCCTTAATATACCTGCCATTCTGGTTTTACTCAAGTGGCTCTGAACAGATACCATCTGCACCACCTCCACAGCCAGCCACAAAACTGGAGACTCCCTGACTCGAGTTCTTGCTTTCAAAGAGGGGGCCTTGAGTGGTGGAGAAGCACATAACAAAAGAAATGAAAGGGAGGCTGAGTGGAGTAATTACATTATAAGATTACCTATGCACACACAAAATCAAAATGTAGGGTTACAAGCAACAACCTTTCCAGTACTGCATGGACTTCAATTACACAGTAGCCATCTGCTGGTCAAAGAATGTTCCTTAAGACCTTGTTGTACATGTTTATTTTATATTTCTTAATTGATTTTCACAGGGAATGGGAGTGGTAGAAGTGTGTATGCATGTATGAGCAAAACCATTTATGAATACTTTTTTTTAGCGTATGAAATACAGTGAATAGCTGACCTTTGAGGCAATTTTCCTAGTTCTGTGATAGTAATTTTGTTGAGTTCCTGAACTTAGATGGGAAGTCCTCTTAGTGAGGCTGGCCTAATTCTGTATTCTGTATGTCACCAAGTCACTATGGCTGTGCAAGAGACATTATTACCTAAAGTACCATAATAATGGCCATGCCCTCCTATGACATTATTGTTTCCTATCTTCCAGGACACTAATTGCCTCCTAACTTGCTCTAAAATTGGTAGGTAGGGCATACTGCCAAGACTAGAGAGAAGAAAGCTGCCGGTAATATATTAAAAGGCTGTGTAAAGGACATACTGCTACCTGCCTTCTCGTTAGGGCACCTTCGCATTTGCATGTTACTTCATTTGTTACAGATTGTTAGCTCAGGCTTGCCTTATGTCTTGGTTTCCATCTTATCATGGTCAATGTCTTTCCTTCAACTGAATGATTCAGACATTTCTGAAGTTATTTTGGCTTTTCCACTTTCCTTTTACAGGCTTTTTATGAGTCATTGAATTGAAGAGGAGGTTATTTCTAAATTGGAAGGTGAGGATGAGAAAAGGGGGAGGAAAGTTCCGGAAAATAACTAGGAAAAACACCTTTTTGTTATGTATAGTTACTAGAGGAATAATTTCCATTTAGTTTGGTGATAGAGGTATGTAGTTTATTCAAACTTGATGAAAAAACATAGACCTTTCTTTGCCTGGATAACTAACAAGGCAGTTTTAGTTTCCTTGTAGCTTGCTTGCAAAAGACAGGAGAATAAATAGAAGAGATATGGGACAAAGAGTTAGCAAGAAGAAAGGGGCAAAACACAAGATTTTCAAAGTCCAGATTCTTGGTCCCAGAGGAAGTTCCCAACCATAAACTAATGCTGTGAGGGGAATACCTCCTTAACCTGTCCTGGTCCCTCTCTGTGTATGTTTCATGGCCCATGGGTTTATGTATTACAGGTGGAGTTGTGAGGAAGGTCCATTTAAATATGATTTAGATTTTGAAAGAGTAATCCTGACAACATTTTGTTATTTAGGAGCAGGAAAAGTGGGTGGAAATGAAAAAGAAAAGCAAAAAACTAATGATAGATACATTTCTAGGAGCACAAATTTTTATAGCAATACCAGATTTCTCAAAAATGCCTGTGATTTGTACCCAAATGAATACAAATAATGCAATCGTTTATTCTTGCATATTGTGCCAGTGAGAGAAAAGAACTGCAATTAATTCAATGGTCCTAATTTAGACTGCTAGGAAGAGGAGAAAAAAAGACAAGTTTTTAAAGATCTGACACACATCAAGTAGGACTATTTAAGAACTGCTGAACATAAAAATCAAACTGAGGGGAGTAAGGGGGAGCAGACTTCTCATTTCCAGAGCATCACAAAGATAAAATGTGGCTTCTTTAGCCCGAACTTGCTGATGGCTTCCTGGTCACTTGGCAGGAGGCAGCCAGGGTAAGTCTGGAAGCTGGAGAACTCTCAACGTGCTACTTCAGTTTATTACGACGTTTATAACTGCAATGGAAGCGTACTGATTTCTGCTAAACGTAAGGCTGTGCCTTGTTCTTTGAAGACTTCCAGAAAGAACTTCAAGGAAATTGGGCGCATTGGGATCTCAAGACAAGAAGGGAAAATTTTTATCTTTCATAGTGTCTTCCTCCCAACGAGTTGGAAACACTTCTTAAACACAACCTCTGAGTCGGCGTTTTTGTAAGAACTATCCTATGAGTAAGCTAGCAGTGATAAGCTTCTCGGGAGCGAGCTGAAGAAAGGGATTGAGTTTACACAGTGAAGAGTTAACAAAGAGTTAACCCTTCCTCGGTAACCTCGGCGGTGAGTATCTGGTCCTTCCTCGCTTTCTACTGCGCAACCAAACTGTCCAAGCCCGAACCAACCGTGGCCGTCACATCCCTTGCCAGTTGACTTAACAGACACTTTCTGCAGCCTATCATAACTTCTAACTGCCCAGCCATCAACCAATTACAACTAAAGATTGGTCTAGGACGCTCGAGGGCCTGGGCGGGAGGCTAATACCCGGTCCAGAAAAAGGGGCGGTAAAGAAGCTATGACGGACGGGTAAGACAAACCTATCAGAGTAGGGAACCGGTGTCCCATTCTCCAATGGAAAGGTAGGAAGTATGAAGCGGGGTGGGCCTGTTGTCATGGGGGAGGTGGTGGCGCTTGGTGGCTACTGGCGGCCGAGGTAGAGGCAGTGGCGCTGGAGTTGGTCGGGGGCAGCGGCAGGTGAGTGCCGGTAGCGCGGGCCTGAGGTCTGGGGGCAGTCGCGGGGCAGAAACTCCATCTCCGCGCTCCGAAGGCAGAGGCCAGAGGAAGGGGGCCTGGACTGCGGGCAGGTTCGACCGGGGCCGGGGCCAGGGCGGAGGCGGCGAGTTCGCACTGACTGGGCTGGTGGTAGAATGGCCCGGCTCCCGGCGGCGGAGTTCGCGTTGGCAAGGTAGGCTGGAGCCGGACCCAAGCGGGTCAGGCCGAGAGGTGCCTTGGCACATGCAGCTGCTCGGGTCTGGGGCACTGACCGGCGGCTGGTGTGTGAAGGGTAGGTCCCTGGGGAGACGCGAGCGGCCGGGGTCCCAGAGCGGGAGTGGTCCGGGGTGACCGGTCTGAGAGCGAGGTGACTCGGGAATGACCAGGGCAGCTGGGGTGCGAAGGGAAAGGGGAACCCGGGGAGCCCGGGAGCGGCCCTAGCGGAGAGAGCTGGGGGTCCGGGAAACTGGGAGTGGCCCGGATCCGAGAGAGAAGGGAGACCGAGGGCGGCCAGGGTCCGGGGTGACAGGGAGCGGCCCGGTTTCCCAGCGAGGGCGTCGAGGAAGGGCCGGGAGGGGGCTGGAGAACCTGTTGAGAAAGGCGGCGGTTCGGGGGAGGAGGAGGGTTCCAGGGGATTTAAGGAGCTGCGGGTCTTAAGAGGGTCGGACCCGTGAAGAACCTTGAACAGCTTGGGAGGACCCGGAGCGCCCTGCCCTCCACCTCTGGTCTGTGGGATGGGACACCCAAGGCTGGACTGGTTAACTCCTGGGTCTGAGGATCCCCGGGGGACCGGGGAAGAAAATCCTCGAGGAGTAGCTCGTGTTTGAGACGTTCAGCAGGGGAGTGGAGGTTCTCTAGTTGGAGAGGAGTCGAACAAAATGATAAGGGAGGGGAGAAATAATTTTCTTGTAGGAAGGGAGTAGTAGATAGGGTGTCGTAGTTCGGAACGAGAAAGTTGCTCAGGAAGAGAGTAGTGGTCTTGTGGAAACTGGCCAGAACAGCACAGACCAGAAATTAACAGTAGTACCATTAATAGGGGGTCTAAGGACTTAAGAAATAGAAGAAACTTCGGCTTTATAATACTAAAATGCCATCTAGGACCAGAGAACAGATTCTAAAGCAAGGTTAAGTGACCTGCATTTCGGTGCTCTAGAAATTTGTTTTAGAAGACGGCAAGCAATACTATTAGAGAATAAGGACATTGACAGGATGGGGAAGTTGAAAGGGAAAAGGTAAGGAGGAGGTAAACTAAAGGAGCAGGACTGAGGACTTGAAAAAGAGAGGCATGAGAGGATAGGCATTCCTTTTTCAAATTAGAAATAAGTTTGACATCTAGTTCCACCACTTAACCTCTCTGTGCAGAAGTTTCCTCATCTGTATAATAGGGCTAATAAAAGTTTCTACCACATAAGATGGTTTTTTCACGAGTTAATATTTGTAGAACTTTTAGAATAGTGACTGGTGGAAGTAAGCACATTGTACTGGATTGTTAGAGGATAAAAAAAAGACCTAAGTTCTTTAATGCTGTGGTTCTCAAACTTTGACTTGCACCAAAATCCCTGGAGGGCTTGGTAAAATACAGATTGTTGGCTCCACCCAGAGTTTCCGAATCAGAAATGGAATTTGCATTTATCTCAGGTGATGCTTATGTTGGTCACGGGACCGCACTTTAAGAACCACATGCTTTACTGAAAACACTAATAGTGTAGCAACCTTAAAATACCTGTCTACCTTGCTAGAGTCAGATAGAGGCAGTTTGCACAAAAGATCCTAATACAATGATACCCTATTTTAAACCTATGTTTTTTCAAACTCTGAATCATGATTTATTAGTAATTTATAAAATCAGTTTAGTGGGTTATCACCAGCATTGAAAACAAAATGAAATAAGACAGATAGAAAAATGAAAAAAAAATGAAATAAGACAGAATCTACTAGCACTGCACTTTGTAAGGAAAAGTTTTGGGAAAATTTTTTAATATATATGTGTACTAGGTCACAGTGTGAAAATGTGTTTCTTACCATCAAAAAAGTTGGAAAACTTTTAGTCATGCATGCAGCCAAAGCACCCTTTCTTAGGAATATCAGGGACTGGGTTTATTACTTATCTATCTTTTTTCTTTTGTGGTAACTCTCAGGTGGTGATACATTCTATTAAATTTCTTCAGTTCTTTTTTGGTTTCTTGGGATTTGAGGCAGATAAATGAAGTTGAGTGGTGTTTCTCAGATTTGGTACACTTTGGTTTCACTTGTCCGCTCTTGTATACGCTTTCTTTTTTACCACTGTACTGGAAAGCATTTCTCTAAAAAACCTATGTGTACACAGACATATTGGCAGTAAACAACTAACATTGAAATGGACTGGCTTGAGAACAAGTCATGGATAATAAGCAAAACTGAATAAGACATATTTCAAAAGAGAAAGCCAAAAAGGTGTTTACTTTTTAGAGAGTAAAAGTATTTCAAGGCTTTTTACAAAAGCATATTTAAGAGAATCAGATAAGCTTTACTTGTGTATTTTAGATTTATAGAAGAAATAGTGATAATACTCCACAGTAAAATGCACCTAGAATAGAGGTTTAACGACAAAGTAAATAGTTTATTAAGCAGGAGCTTTTGTTTTGATGTTTTTCTCCCTTAAAATGAACTGGATGTGGCATACGTTGCAAATTTAACTTGTTTGAGGGACCTAAATGTAATCTACAATACTTATTTTAAGCTATATTAAGAATACATATGCATTTTTTGTGCTGCTTTGGTTTGATTTTTCTTTTATAAAAAAACGAGGGTTTATATTTAGGAAGAGTTGATTTAGATCTGTTTTTATGGATATAAGAACAGAGAAAGCAATATTGAAAACTGAAAGAGATTCTTGCAGCTCTCTGAAATCTTTAATTCAAGGGATTTATGTAACCCTTTCATGAATGTTTTATGAAACTGTGAAGAAACTATTGATGTATCTTTGCATCAGGATTTTAACATAATTTACTCTTTCAAAAATCATTTTTATCTTTCAGATTTTATTTTTCCTTAAAATTTTTATTGTTTGTTTGGAAGACTGCAAAACAATCATTGTATGTTTGAGTTGAAAACGTGAGTGGTCTTTTCACAAAATAAATTTACTAATTTTTTGTGACAAAGGTTCCCAGGATGAAAACTTTTGAATTTCTTGCACTGTTAGATGGAGTTTTCCCACCACCAAAATGGTTATTCTTTAAATCATTGTACAGTTGAGAGGCACATTTTTATAGATCATTTAATTCTTTACTAACTGATGGGGGAATGTTAAATCTTAATAATCAAGTGTGGGAAAAATATAAAAGTTCATTCTTCATGATTAGAAGACCAATAGATCAGTTTGATTACTTACTTTTTAATAAATGGACTTTATTCAGTTGACTTATTATTCATCCATAATTTAATCATACTTATCTATGAATAGCTCTGGTTGCTTAATTCATTTTACAGTGAGGTTTGTTAATCTGTAATTGAATACATGGCGGTTTTTAAATCCCAAAGACACTGTATTCCTGACTGTATATTTTAGTGAGACTCGATTTCACATACCAAAGATTAAAGTGGCGTTTCAATTAACACCAGTTAATTATGTTTATTTTTCTATTTCAGTAAAGTTTTGTTGTCTTTTATAAATAGCTTCTGATCTGCTTTCTCTGCTTCATGCCCTTTAACTATCCATACAGTTAATCCTAATGGAAATGTTGGTACCTGAAAATCTAGTTCTATAAAAGTACAAAACCCCTATGTCTGGTTTTTAGTTTGCTGGGAGAATTATTTTTATCAGAAAAGGTCCCTTGGTAAAATTATCACCTTAAAAAAAGATTTTCAATAGACTACCTGAAAAGCTACATTTTATTTTGGATTTGCCAAAACACATCTATTTTGTTTAATAGATTTTTGATTTCAACAGAATGGATCTTGAATTCTGTTGGTTTCTGAACTCTGTGTTTCCTTGATAGGACTAGGGAGAAAGGAAACAATTGTACCCCTTAAATATAATTTTTTTTTTCTATCTTGTTTTTTTTTCTTAACATTATGATAAATCCTTTATTTGCCAGGAAAATTTGTTTTGGTAATATAACATTAGAAACTTTATTATTAAAGGTAGGAATACCATATAAAGCTTTAGGATGTTTGTTGAGATGTGAGACATAGGTACTGATAAATAGGATGTCATTGTGATATTGCCATATCTTTTTGAGAATATAAAATATGTAGTTGGAAAACCTGGGGCAAAAGGGGGATTGAAACTAAGGGAGAATGAGGAGAATATTGACATGTGTTTAAGGAGGAGCCTGGAGGATCTGCAGGAAGTATGTCTAGAGGAGTGAGCCATTCTTGGCAGTTTTCCTGGAGTGACATATGTAAAAGAGGATGATCCTATTTGCAACATTCTCCCATGGACATATTTTTCATTCTGTGCAGTTTCCAAAGCTTGCTATAACTCTTCCTTTGTTTTCTTCCACTCAGATAAAGCCTGTGAGAATGCAAGTGAATAGACTTGAGAATTGTTAGTCCTAGGGGATGGGAACCTGGGCAAGAATATGTGAATTGAGAAGAAGGCTGGACACTTGTGTACTTCTGCAGATCTTGAGAATAGGTCCTCCAGCAATTGTAACTAGCCTAGCCTCCCCACTTGTCCGTTGCATTGGAGTTTGGGATTAAGCAATGGGAGGAGTCCACCAGTCATCTTAAATGAATTGGCCAAGAGCTGCTATATTAATAATTAATGTCAGTTATTTCCCCTTCTCTTCCCACCAGAACTCTTATTTCTCCCCATGTGCTTGCTGATAACTTGTATTCTTTAAATAGAGATCAAAGTCTTAATTTCTTTGATCAGATAGCAAAATCTTAATTGTGTTAACTTGTTTATATTAAGGTATATATGGTTAATTAGGAAAATTATTACTATCAGATTTTTTTCCAGTTAGGAAGGAAGAGGGATTGAAAACTGTAAAACACTG